CTACTACTACTACTACTATTGCTGTATCACTGTTGTCGCGATTATGATTATTGTCGTTATTATCACTACTATTCTTGTTATCTTTATTATCTTCGTTGTTGGTATGATTATCTTTGTTATTGTTGGTGCTGTTGTTGTTGATGCTACTGTTGTTGTTCTGGTTGTGGTCGTCTTGTTGTGGTTGCATTTGTTGTTGTGGTAGTGCTGCTGGTGCCGGTGCCGGTGGTTGTGGTGGTGTTTGTTGTGCTTGTGGTCGTCGTGGTTGTTGTGTTTACTGTTTACAAAGATGTGCAACGAGTTGGATTTAAAGGTAAGCAGGTCAAAGGAACGGACTAGCCCGAACATATGTTTTTTCGCAAGCACGGGCTTACGAGTGCGTAGCCAGGATCGGAGTTTCAAGCATCGGCTCCGGAAAGCCAGTGTCCCCAACAGCCACGTTTCCATCATCTCACAAACAGCTGCTACACGAGCTGCCAGCTTTCAGTGCCTACAGCTGCAACGCCTGCATACCAAAGGACAAAATGATGTGGTTCATGAGGGTACTGAAGCCTCGGGGAGAAGCAGTGACTTCAACCGATGTTGACTGTTCTGAGCCTGAAGGGTTTAAAGACGTCGTGAAGCACACGAGACGAGGCACAAAAACATGAACGGATGTATACCGGCTCTGCACAACATCAACAGCAAGAAGCCGCATGAGGACGCCAAGCGTGGAAATCTCGAAGATTCAGATGCAGCATTCGCTTCTTCGAGCATGACTGGGGGCAAACGATCTGCCGATGAGGAGCAATTTGTTGAAAGAGACAGCTCTGTGAAATATGCGAAGAATCGGTGGAAAACTTGTTCGAGATTCTGCGCAGAAGAAAGAGTACCTCGGCCCTTTCCGTGTTTGGCAATTTTCGGGCTAGACGGGTCAGGCTGATGCATGCCAATATTGGAGAGCCATTTCGTAACTTCGCATCGAAATCCAGAGCTACCCTTGCAATGAATGCACCAAAGTGCTTTACAGACTTTCCGTTCCCGTGCAGATCCGTGTGGAACTGGAATCCGCAAGCACACGGATGCAGCTGAGGTGGCCGCCCTGCACCTACACTTGACTTTCACAAATTGGCATCCTAAGGCCACATCTAGTTCAACTCTTGACATGTACAAAGGTAAAAGTAGGAAAGGATACTACGATCCGTTGGCTGCAGGTGTTCACCCCAAGAAGATCCATGATGCGGGCATCTGATCTTCCGGAGAAGTGGAAGGATCCGCGCGACAAAAAGCGTGCAGATGGGAATGGGAGCTTTGCCTAAATCGTAGCTCCTTACAGGCTGGACCTGCTGAAGTCTACACGGGCCTCGCGCAGAAGTCCTACTACCTGATGAAGGCCAACGCGACGAACGCGAACGGAGACGATCCATGCACCCTGACAAAGCAGCGAAGGAGAATCCCGTCCTGTTTGACGTGACTGTGGATGAAGACCTCGAGGCCACGGGGCAAACCGGCGACATGTTTTCGGCTGCGATTGAGTCCGGCTGCCCAACTGCGACAGAAACTCCAAGTCGAGAAAGAGGACGAGGAGAAGCAGAAGAAGGCCGCCTTGAACAGCTGAAGCAGCTAAATGCTCCAGTAGCCTACACCAGTCTCGCTTCCAAGTCGCCCAGGACTTGGAGGGCAATGCAAAAGAGGTGCTCCATGGATGTCAGCTGCGGTGGCATGTTGCTAATGCACTGTTCATGTATTAGGACACGTTGGTGCTGAGAAAGCGGATTGAAGAAGTCAAGATGAACGAACGCATTCGCTCCTCGACTAAACTGCTGTTTATCGATGTTCTATGATGCTTCAAACTATTGTGGAGTCCACGCTGTTGAAAGCCACTGCAGTAGAAAACGCCTGCCGCTTCAGCCACGTGAGAATCTCCCAGGTGCTGTCACAGAGTTGCTATATTTGAAGGTTCGCGCAACCATGTGCGGAGTCCGTCGAGCGCTGCGTACTCTCATTTGGAAGGTGTGCCGCAAGTTTCAGCAGCTGCAAGCAGCATCCCCGGAGCTGCTTTATCGATGTCATGACACCAAATTTCAAAAGCACAGGTACCCTTGATACCTCAGTTGAAAGAGGGTGGCGATGTGCGCTTCGGAAACGTGGATCTCAAGGCGGCTTTGAGCAAGTCGTCATGCCTGTGTTCCGCTCTCCTAATCCTATGCAGGGTCTCACCACGGACATCTACTCTGCAGATGCACTGGAGCTTGTGCGGGACCATCTCTTCCGCATCATTGGGCAGCAAGGAGGCCGATGTGACACATACAAAAGGCTATAGAGGAGGATGGTGACAGTTGCTTGCCAGGCAACCCTTCCTTCGCTGGAGGAATGGGCGTTGTGCAGATTGCTTTGTTTCAAGCTGGTCAGGTTGAGCCCTTGGAGCCACCGTGTGTCCGTGTCATTCCGTGTCTTCGACTCGAGAGAGCACGAGGTTTATGCAATGTCAGCGATGTTTGGCTACTACCTTCGCCGCGTCGACCAAAGGTACGACCGAATATCGCATGCTTCGTCAAATGCCCGGCTTGCAACTGGCGGAGGTATCAACTTGAGAAGCTGGCAGGGACTTTTGGCGCCTGGGGTGAAGAAGAGGCGGATCTGCGTTGCGGTGACACGGTGCCACTCGATGCCTGATTCTGGATGTGAAATGTCACAGGCAAGCGAGGAAGCTTCCAATCCTTTCTCACAGGCTTCGCAGCTCTTTTGATACTTCCAGTTGGTTGGCTTCCAAACTTCGACAAGCCGGACATTTTGGGTTGTAAGCACGCTTTCTGGAGGATCCGGGTGCCGCCGATTCCCTGAAGGTAACCAAGCTGCATAGCTGGCACTGCCGCATTGCCACGATTGTTTTTGCAACGCTCGAGGGATACATCAGCTCCTTCGGGCCCGACGAAGTACAAAGCATGCCTGATGCTTATTGGCTTATCGGTGCCTCTGTGAAGCAGCGGCATGAGAGCGCAGTACAGGTGGGCGGTGACATCTGCAGAGGCACAGCTGGCCATGGAAATGCAGGTCCAAGCCTTTCGAAAGGGTTTGTGAGTGACTACCAGCCATCGGTTCGCAGAAGATGTGAAGGCCCCAATGTTGAATTACAGTGGAATTGTCTCACCGCTGCCAGCACTGTTGCAACCACCACAGGCGGTCCAGCGAATGTAAGCAGGGGAGGTCGCCAGATAGTAGATCCGAGTTGTTTCCGCGACATTCAGCACATCGACCTCCATACAAGAGCCACCGAGAATCTTCGGCAGATCTCAAACCGCCGAGTTTTGGGTTGTAGGCGCAGAGTTTTGAATCCGTGAGTCGTAGCTTGGCTGATTTCTATCACGAAGGCTAGTTCATGCTACTCGCAGCTTTTAATGTCTTATACAAAACTTACGAATAATGTGCAATCGTCTTTGTTCGTTATTTTTCATCTCATTTGGTAAGTTGCTTATGCA